GAGCCAGCTCTGCCTCCTCCTTGGTGTGAGGGCCCAGTGCTGGCCCACGCTCGCCCTTCACTCAGCTCCCGAGGGCTGAGTGGGGCTTAGTTTGTCCCCTCCCAAGCTCAAGGACAGGCCTGGTAGCCCAAAGATGCTCTGTAAATGTGTGTAGGGGCCCAGCTGGCACCCCGAGCTCTCAGAAGTGTACCCACAGCAGCAACCCCCTCCATGGCCACTGGGCCGCCCCCACCTGCCAACCATCCTCCTCCTGTGCTTCCCTCTTTCGGCATTGCTCGTCCACGTTGAATCAACAGGGCACACAACTCTTTACCCTTAATCTTCAGAAATAGGAAGGAGTGTTTTTCACATCCTCAAATAATTCTCCCATGATTCCATAAAGCAGAAAAAGGATCAGAAAGTCAGAATTGGGTATAGAATTCAGATTTTTTTCTTTCAAAGACACATTTTATACAACTTTCAACATTTATACTTTCAAACAAAATAAGCAGAAAATACACTGAATGCTAAACAAAAAAAATCAAAACAGAAGTAATACAATTTTAATTTCATTATTTTAAAATACAGGACCAGGAAAGTAAGAAATACCAAATACAACTTTGAACAAGTCACTTGTCCTCCCCTATAGTAACCAACATAAGCTACTTAAAGACTTACAAATTTAAACAGAAACAAAATAAATACTGTACACTTTCCCTGCCTGCAGGCAAAAGATGGGAAATACTGTTATGAATCGAAAAAAAATGCTCTTAAAGCTTCATCCCACTTCCCAGCCACACCCCACTCCGCAGGCACACGCGTGCTCCGCCCTCCCAGGACACGCGTGCGCACACCTGTCTACAGAAACAGACGAGACTACCCCGCAGGCACCCCGACAAGAAAGGAGGGCAGGCCTCAGCCCATGGCGTGACGGCGTGACGGCGTGACGGGGGAAGTCAGTCCAGCTAGCAAAACCTCACTACAAAACTAGCAAATACCATTGCCCAGACTGCCCTGCTCAAATTTCACAGATCAAAACCCCTAAAACCAATCCTACCCCTCCCCATCACCACCCTCTACTCTCCCCTCCCAAACCCGCCCCCCCAAAAAAAACCTGCTGAAGCACTGGCAAAGTCAGACATTTCACAGTAAATGTGAAAATTCATATTATATAATCTCTTAAAATGAACCTTTTCACCCTCTTTCCACAGCATGAAACTGTTATGGCTTAATTTATATTAAAAGTAGAAAAGTCTTTTCCAAAGGAAACAGCCCGCAAAGACGCGCTTCTCCTGGTCAGTGCTATTTCATACCTAACAACCGTGTGACGCGCTTTTGCAGTCAGAAGCTGTTTTTGGAGAAACTGAGGTTACAGCTTTTTGATTCAGTCTAACCATCAATGTAAGGCCCTTAGTTTGGTTTAGGTTTCTTTTGCAAGATAAATAACCTTGGGGTTCACTTAGCAAGTTACACCTCAGGTCCCTGACTATAATGTGGAAGTTCTATGTATGCTTTGTAAAAATAAAAGGTTACTTATGCATCTTAGAGGGAAGAAAGGATTCTAGGCAAGGAACCAACTCCTCATACATTACGCTTCGATCTGGTAACTGTCACCAACCGAAGAGATGCAGGAGTATGGCCGGGTTATTTTATTCCTGCACAATCTTATCTATTCCAGCACTTATGATTATTGTTTTGGTGAAAAATCTCAGTGGATATTTTGAAAAGGCTATGGTCAAAACAAACCTGGGTGGAGGCAAAGTTTATCTTTATGATTAAGTTCTGTCTAGGGTTGCTTCTGAAATAAAGAAACGTGAACTCGGGTATCACGGGTCTTGCATAGGTAAACTACTTGGAGGTCAAGGCTACGTAGTAGCCAGGGTTTATTAGTGAAATAGTGCAGCGCAGATAAACTTGTTGGAAGAATCACTGAATTCAGTTTCAAATGGTCTTAACAAAAACCTGAATGTCGCATTTGGGAAGATGATGCTTTAGGGTACTTGAAGGGGCGAATCTAAGGGGCACAGACGGGTGACGCGTTTCATCACAGGATAAGAGCACTGTCAGTCACAATCAGCTCAATGCTTTGGAAGTAGACACTGGTTCTTAGTGACCTTAGTTTAAAAATGTATATAGGCAAGGGGTATCAAATATCTTAATTATGGCATGATGCTCACTGAAAAGCAAATGAAAACAAGGGGAGGTTTTTGGTAAGGCTACAGCATTGAAGTTACATCACGTTCAACAGCAGTGTGGAGTCACGACTGACTCCCTCTCCTGCCTGCTCAGAGTAAGCACTGGGGAGTCCTCGGCTCGGCCAGAGGCTGTGAGCACCAGACCTGGGCCCTTGCAGGAAGCAATGTTGGGGGGAGACCAGGATCCCCGGCCGCCCTGGGAGTCACTGCCCTGCTTGGGCTTTACCTGTCTCCTTTATTTACTGGCGTGGCTCTTTTCTCCATTACAGATCTTTCACTTAACCTTCTCTCAAGATCGCTTTAGGTGACGGTCTAGGGCTTCCAAAAATGACTGGCATCTTTAGCTTCTCTTGTTTAATATTTAATGAGAAAAGGTAATTAAAAAAAAAAGTCAGATTTATATTTTAAAGCCCTGGTCTTTTAATGTGAAAATACAGGACCTGCAACAGTCATCTCTGGCAAGAGTGTACTGGGCCACACGACTACACCTGCTCTTTGTCTTATCTCTAGAGTATCTCTCCAAGAGAGGAGAGTTTTCTTTGGAAGATGTCGAGTCTCCTTCCTGACACTTCCTATAGCAGCCTCTCTCTTGCCGCATGAGTTCCCACTCTGATCAGGTCCAGGTCCGGGTGTTTACTAGGCCATTTAAATTCCACAACTTGTTTATCTTTAGCTAGTGCACAGACTCCACAGGGCAGTATTGTCCCAGTTCCTTTCTGAGAAAGACCTCAAATCACCTCCCAATTATCTAAAACCATCTTAATGATTACTCGAGGATAAACATTTTTTGCTGAGGGTAAACAGCCTCACTCTGATCCATAAACTAACACTCTTGTTTGCAATTAAGCACTGGTTCTGGTTTTAATTCAGCACCTTATTATTATGTTAGAGTCTTGAGAGTTTTGGGGCAGTATGCGCTGGGCATATATTTGATATAAAATAAATCTTATGTGTAACAGCAGTTTTCACTTAAAAATGCATATACATGTGCATTCATTGTTAGTTTTAATTTGAATAATGCTAGATTCTCGACACATAACAAGTGTTAGTAGATTAGGGAGTGCTTCCTGTTTTTCTTAAGCACATTTTTATCCAAATTTATAAGTGAGAAAACTAAGATTCCAAAGCAGTGATTTACTTAAATTTAAGGGCACACAGTTGACAAAACCCAGGTCTCCTGCCCCCTTCCCTACTAACACTCCTTTTAAAAGTTTTTCTATTTTTAAAAATTAAAGCAATTTGTTTTACTTCCACTTCTGTAGCTGTATAATATGTCGAAACTAATAAAGTTATACTGCTTTCGTCCTGAATGAGGCCTCTTGCTTAAGTCTGTGTAGACATGAAGATAATACTGCTTGCTTCCTGGAGAAGACGCCTTCAAGGGCAGAGACAGCATCAACTTTCTATTTCCCAAGGTACTAAGTAGTGCTTGAGTCAGTAGATGCTGATCTCACATGAATAAATACAGTAGAGTTCATTAAAAAGGCAATAAGGATTATTAAAAAATAGAGTAGTATTCAAGCTCAGTATTTAAGTGGTGAGATGATGGGGAAGTTTTCTGTGTTTATGAATTTGCTTGGAATTTAAAAGTTAACAGATGCTTACAAAGTTCACGCTACTGAGCTATTATTCTAAACTGCTGACCGTGGCGCGAGCATCACTAATCAAGACTGGACAGCGCAGTAAGGTGGCGCTAGGAGACGGAGCACCGTCGGCCCCGAAAGTCACTTGTTTGCTGACGATGCATCACTAGATTCAAGTTCTTTCCTTCAATCATGATTCTCTTACCCACTGGTAACTGCTCAGAACTAGCTACCTGCCTGTGTCGCTGTCTTCCTCGCTACAGGGTCTGGGCGGTGGCACTGTCCGAGGGCCTGCGGGAAGAGGAACAGTGTCTCTTCCGGTTGGGCTCCAGCTACTGGCTGCAGCTATCCCAATGCTTAGTCATTTTTGTGAGCTAAAGAGAAGTGTAACTTTGCAAGAGGTCTGAGCAGGATAAGTAGCTAAATTTTCACCAATTCAAAAATGAAACATGTATTCTGTTTTAGTGGTTTTATCACCTTACTGAAAGTTTTTCTTAACTTAGATAAAGGTCTAAAAAAGAGAATCCACAGTACCTTTCTACATACTGGCTCCTTAAAATTAGCATTTACTGGCCTAAGTACACAAGGTGGATATTGAACAAGATTTTAATTCATAAAAATACTTTGTTTTATTTAAAATTTTGGGACTAAAGGGGGAAAGTCAGGAAATTTAAAAATAGTCAGAGCTGTGAAAACTGTAAAGAAAACAAAAGAACACAGATCATGATGTAGCTAGAAAAAGAATTTATAATTCTTCTTTTCTTAATAATTCATAGATCTTTAACCAAAACCAAAATGTGTACTGTATATCACTAAAGCAGTATCTACAGGAAACTGAAATATCATAGTTATATATTGTGTGGGGAAAGTGGGAAAATCAGTCAAACCTAAATTTTTGACATCTTACCATCTGATGAGCAACCAACGACTGTGCTCTCTTAGCTAGAGTTTAAGTGGCCATTTATAGACATTTAGTATTTCCATAAAACTCTTCCTGACACCCAGCTAAGATCCTGATTTTAATTGAGTCACTGGGACAAAAACGGCTAATTCATAAGCTATTTTGTATATATTCCATGAGTATTGGAATGGAAAGAGAGTAAGAAATATTTCTCTTTGAAAATACACATCTGAATGGAACCATGAAAGATGATTCCACGTTCAAATGATACTGAATATGGAAGGGAAGGTCCTGCCACCTTGCTGAGTTTAAAAAAAAAAAAAAAAGACAAATGTGGGATATGATCGTGTTTCCTCACCAATAAAAATAAACTTTATCCTATTTGTCTCTGTTTTCTTTAGAGGACCTTGTAAAAAATGCCCTTTATCAGAACTGGGACTATCTCCACCCCGCTTCGAGCATTCACTTATGTTTATGCTATGGGCGGGGAGAGGGAAGGAAAAACAAGCACAAATGAAAACTGGCATCTAGTAAAAGTGGCATAAAGGAGATAAATGATTCCTTAAAGCTCAACCAGACACTTAACCTCAATATGCACTGGTTAAGTCGGGACAGATGGAAGAAACGGCAAGAAGCACCCATTGTACTCTTAGTTCTTTAGAAAGTTCAGACATAAAAGCTAAACACACGTGTGCACACCCACACCCACTCCACACACACCCGAGGGATCTACTCCAACATGCTTGCTTCTATACAACTTAATACAGTATAGTCTTATTATATTACGGCTTATTATGCAGATTTGAATATACTACATCAAATCATATTTTCCAATAAATCACAGAATAAAAGCATCATAAAATATAACCTCTGTGGCAGGGAGGGGCCATGCCCTCCAACACCAGCAGTATGAAGAAGGCCCTCTGTAGTTACAAATGCATCTGAAAAACCACAAACATGACAATTAACCAAACTTAGAACACTTTTCCCACAAGTAGGAAAAAGATATTAAAGCTGTTCTCTTTGGGACCCAGATATCACCAGCAAAAATGAAAATGCAAGAAGCCTATTGTTATATTGAGAAGAAAATTGCCATGTCAAATGAAATGAGAGATGTAGGATCGTTTATGTAGTTCTTATCCATTGGCTATGAAAGTATTTCCCTGCAAAGAGAAGAGTTCTGTAATATCGTCACAAAAGATGGGGAGTGCAGAGGGAGGCGGGGTATAAGGTAATCAACCTGGATAACAGTATGCACCTTGGATGTTAGCAAAAGCGAAGCTAATAGCTTATAAAAAACACATGAAATATATAAAATAAAATGATTTTCATATACATCTTAATTTAAAATAATTAATGCATCAAATCCCTGTTTAAGACTTTAACCTGAATATCAAATTTAAGAGTCCAGACTAGTTACTGCTACCGTGGCTCTTCCCCACATGTAACACACACACTATCAAAAATAATTTAAAAAACCTTCACATTCTTAAATCTAAATTAGTGAGATATTTCTCCAGAAATCTTCCAAATAAATAGCTTTAAAAAAGAAAGAATTTAAAGGCTGTTAACTTTAAAAAAAAAATCTGTTAAATAAATTATTGATAATTCTTTACCCTACCACTGAAAATAAATCAAGACACTACCAACAACAAATGCAGCTCAAGCCCTGACAAGAGGCCCGTTCCAGTTCAGGGTCTCTTTCGAAGGTTCGCCCTCCTTCGTCCTCTCCCACCAGGTCCCAGTGGTTATTGCTGAGTGGGTGTGGCACAGTGACAATGCAGCATCGGGTCCGTTTGTTCTTCAGGCAGTGTTCCCTACTGTACATGCAAACTGCTTCCGCGGGCACGGCGGGGCTCCAGGCTCCTGTCCCCAAGATGGTCTCCCAGGGAAGAGAGGCCACCACGGCAGCTCCATCACACAAAGAAGCGGGCGTGGCCATTTCTGTTCAACTTGAGGATCTTGCCGAGACGCTGCTTGGCTGTTGCCATTCCTTTTTTGGGGCGTTTACCTAGGAACACCAAGCACGGTATAAGAAATGAGAACAGCACGCCTGCCAGAGGCCCCTAGGAAACCCAAGCGAAAGGTGAGCAGCTGCCCGGGATGCCAGCGGCTTCTGGACAGCTGCTGCTTAAAGCCTCGCTGACTGGTCACTCAGGACAGGGCCGAGCTCCTGGAGGAGGCTGGAACACGCTCCTGATCTGCCCAGCCCTCTTCGGCGCGTGAGCGCTGCACACTCTGCCGCTCTCTGAGCTTCAGCGACAGAGCCGACAGTCGGCTACCGCACACTGCCTCTCCCCTGACCGCCCCTCCCTGCTGTCTCCTCGGCCACTCCCCCAGCTCAGCGAGGCTAAGTCCTCATCTTCCCGTCAGGATCAACTTGCGTCTAGCAAGCGCCTCCCGGCTGGCATGGGGAGCTCATACCGGCCATACTGACTCACCGCACTGACCACACACATCAGGCTGTGAGCGACCCGAGTGCCACCGCTGTCACCCCCCCCCAGCAACACATCGAGCCTACAGTGTGCACGCGTCACCTTTCGTTGCCTGGTTGCTGATAGGTGGTGGGTTTGATGCGGGTCTCTTGGTGGGGTGAAGAGGCACTGAGAAGGACGTTTCACCAACTGGCCTTTCCGGGCTCACACCGCCATCGCTCATCTGGTATGCCCCTGCACTCGAGCTGGGATTCTGCATGTATTTCCCATTCTGAGGGCCTGAGCCACTGCTGTCCGCAGAATTTCTACTTTGGACCTTTTGAACGACTTCTGAGGAAACTTCTTTTTTGATGTATTTCTGGCCTCTATTTATATCCTGAAGAAAAAGGAAGGAAAGAAGGCTGAATTTTCAGGGTTCTTTAAGAGCAATGAAGTCTTCAGCCTCGCTCTATATCAGCAAGTCGAGAAGGGGAAGAAAAAGACTGTAGCCCTTTGCTTTCAGCTATAGTAGCCGCAGAAGAACACCCTTCATGCCCGTCACCCCATTCCAAGGCCTCACAGCTCTGAAGGGGTCAAGTCTTGAAGTTGCACCACAAGTAAATCAAGGACACATTATCTGAAGTAGGGTGAGGGAGGGGAGAAAGAATATGACTTAGCCATCCTGGACTCAAGGAGTGTGTGCCATGTGGAAGGAACAGGAGAGGAACACGGGGGGCAAAGAGGGCAGACTCCACTCTGCCATTTAGGAACTGTGGTTCTTTCTCTGGCTGTCATTTTTCAGGACTTGCAAGAGGCTTTCCTCCTTTGGTGGTTTCTTTAAAAAGCTATTGAGGTTCAATACATTTGTTTAAGTACGGACAGCCTGGGGCCCGACCACACCAGCTCTTCTCTGACAGCAGAGTCTGGATCAGGAGCCAGGGAGTGCTGATAACTACGTACAGTTAGAAAAGAAAGCAAGAGCACAGTTAGCCCTTCAAACTGTGCATATACCTGAAGATTAAATCTGGACGTTGTATCAAACTGTTTCATCCAGGAAGAATTCCTCAAGTCTTGCTCTTCAGTCTTAACATGGTATCCTAAAGAGAAATTAACATTCAATTATCGACACACAAACTTGAATTTAAAGAACAATCCTCAGAGTTTGAGGGAAACAAATTTCTTTTCTACAGGGAGACAATAAAACACTGTATAGCATTGCTGATATTACCATCGAGTTTTCTCTCTTTCCTGCCACTATCACGTGGGAAAGAGAATAACCTCAGTCAGAAACAGTTCAAACTGTGTCCCCTGTCCCACCATGACAGGAAAAAGGCAGACTGACCAAGCGCAGCCAACCATTTAGACACCAAAACATTCCTTCTTCGCTGAGAAACTCGTGCTGGGGAATAAGACTGCCCTGCAGCAGCGGGGGTGCAACCAGGCAGTGAAGCGCCCAGGCCCAGTTCATGCACACGGGTGCTTAGCACCGGGGTCTCTGTGACCTGGCAACACTGTACCCCCGGGGCCAGTACCCTCAGCACCCACAGATGTGCAGCAAGCAGCAGCGGGCAGGGCCAGGCCACAGCGCGGTTAGCTGGGGGCCATGTGTGGCTCTTCATGCTTCTTACCACATTCCACTGGCTTATCACTGCGATACAACTGCCTGGCCTCATGGTCACTACTGTGGCAGCTGCTGGGGTCCTGCGCAGAGGGCCTGTCGCCACTGCGGTCTGCGTTTTGTCCCGGCCGCTGCAAACACGGGGAGCAGTGCCACCCTGCCATAGACAGCATGCCCTGAACTGCTTCCTCCTCTGTGCTGGTCGAGGTAGGACATTCCCTAGGGAGGTCATCGAACAAGACAAGAGTTCATTTAATTATAGTTTTGGTCAAATTTTAAAGCTGAAAAAAGTTCTCATGTCACTTACATCACAGTGTGATTCGGCAAGCCTACCTTTTAACTGGAATTTCACTTCTAGATGGCTTCTGGCTCTTTTGAAGGAAGTTCCTCATTAGACTTGATTCCTCCTTAAAGTTTGATGTTATTTCTTGTTTCTTTTCATCACCTGAACTTTCAGACTCTTCAGTGGCAAAATTACTTCTCTGAGATTAAAAAAATAAGTAAAGGTAAGCACACCTACATGAGATCTGACCAAGTCTGTGCAAACCAACCAAAACATCTGGAATTATCATGGCATTCCCTCTGTATTTCATGTGAAAAGCTCTAATAACTACAGTAAAATAATTCTCAGTAAAAGATACACTGTACAGGTTTTCTTCAAGATAAAATGAAATACAATTTATGAGAAATATGTGAAATGCAAGAGCAGTATCTCCCTCCACCTTTCCAAAGGGGGAAAGAGGCCACATGTATCACTGTCAAGGGCCACATGAAGTGTGCACGCATGTGTGCAGCACTCCATGGAAAAGCTCCAAGGACAAGCTCTCAGGAAAGCTGTCATTCACTCTCCTCCTAGGTGAAATAAGTAACTATAAAATGATGTACAGGTCACAGCACTTGGGGCATACCAGTGTGGTGCAATCAGGTCCAGAGTCTTCTGAATCAGAAATGTCAGAATATTCTGATGATCGATTCCTGAGTTCTGACTTCACACTTGTAAAAAACCCTCAAAGGGAAAGAGAGGAAAATGAAAGCGGTTAGAATTCATGACCCAGGTGACACGGAAGCCTGTCCAGCACCTGACGGGTCCCACTGGTTCCTGCTCTAACCTCTTTCATGCTACTTCCATCCCTTTCACTACCTTACCCTCTAGGGACGTTCTCCCTAACTGAGCAAGATGCAGAGTGAAGAGTATTCTGAAAATACTTGGTGTTTATTGAACACAATTATATAACCCCTATGGGGTGGGTTACTTATATTTTTTCCAGAAAACAAAACAAAACAAAACAATAAATTCAAGCTACTTTCTTCAATTTCTCTTTTTGCATTAGAAAGCAAGAAAAGCAAAATGATGCCCCAACCCTAAAAGCATGTCATGAGTCCACAAGTACTCTGCAGACCCCCACAGGCAGCCTCCCTTCCAGTGTGGAAACAAAGGCAGAATCACTGATGACAGTGATAGCAGAGTTCTGGAGAGTCAGCTAGAATTGAGATATTTAACATGGATTAAGTAAAGTTTATCATCTGGACATATATGTGTCAAGTTCCAAAAAACTACTTTTGAAATACTGAGGCTCCGAAAAATGTTGAGAAATTAAGAATTCACTCAAAGAAGAAAGAAGATGTTACTGTTTGTATAATGTGGGAAACCAACTAATAACTACTAAGTAGAGGTCTTCTCACCAGCAGGCAATCAAATAAAACTTTACATGGATCACTAATAGCTTCAGGTCATTTATATAAAAAAGCTTCTTAATTCTGAAAACCATGTATACATGAGTTAAAATCATTTGTGAAGTTGCATTAAATTATCCATTGTTTTACTATTTGAAGTACAAGCACATAAAATACATGTGCTTTCACATAAATCCATCAGAAACTGTCACTAGGCAAGTGACCACCACACACCCTCACCTTTAGTAACATCTCCCTTGACTATCCCCCTCATCTGGAATTCACAATCTGCATTTTTCTGATAGGAAAAAGTACTCGGAAATACTTGAGGTTTCTCATAAGTCTTAGGGACAAAAGAAATTTCGATTCAACAACAAATTTAAGAACTTTAAAATTAGCAAGTTGCTCTATGTATTCTCACCTGAGTAATGTATTGACCTTTAAAACAACCATTACAAATTCATATGGCCTCACAAGAGACCTGAACAGCAAAAGCTCTTCTGACTAAGGAAGAGGGGGGTAAGTGTGGATACTGCACTTTCAGTCTTCAAACTATACTACAAAGCCATAATAATAAAAACAGCCTGGTATGGGAATAAACACAGGTACAAACACTAATGGAATAGAATTGAAAACCCAGAAATAAAACTACATACATATATTCAACTAACCTATGACAAAGGAATAAAGAATATACAGTGGAATGAAGAATGTCTCTTCAACAAATGGTGCTGGGAAAATGTACTGCCATATACAAAAGAATGAAGCTAGACTGCCATCATACACCATGCGTAAAAATCAATCACAATGGATAAAAGATGTGGATGTAAGACCCCAAACTATAAAATATATAGAGGTAAGAAACTCAGGAAAATACTCCATGACATAAACTTCAGAAACAGCTTTGAGAATTTGTCTCCAGAATCAAGGGAAACAAAGGAGGGCATAAACAGCGGGGGCAAAATAAATAAAAAAAATCAAAGAGATATCACACTGAAAGGGAGAAAACATTTGCTCATTATACATCTATAAGGGGCTGATACTGAAGATCTACAAAGAGTTCATGTAACTCAAACAAAACAAATTAAACAGCCCAATCAAAAAACAGGCAGAAACGTGAAAAAGACATGTTTCCAAAGAAGAAATGCAAATGGTCAAAGGCTTATGAAACAAAGTTCATTACCTCTGCAAATCAATACCACAACGAGATAACTCACACCTGTCAGAATAGGCCATGTTAATAAAACCAGAAACAACAAATGCTGGCGAGGATGTGGAGAAAAAGGACCCCTTTTACACTGTTGGTGGGACTGTAAACTAGTCCAGACCCTATGGAAAGCTGCAGAGAGAAATTCCTCAAAATACTGCAAATGGACCTGCCATCTGACCCAGCTATTCCCGTCCTCAGAACTGACCCCCAAAATGTAAAAGCACAATTTCTAAAGAAAATCTGTACTATGTTTATTCCAGCATTATTTACAATAGCCAAGTTCTGGAAACAACCTATAGGCCTCAAAAGGCCTCAAAACAGATGAATGGATAAGAAGATGTGGTATATATATACATGGAATACTGCTCAAAGATCAAAACAAGATGAACTCATGCCATCTGCAGCAGCAGGGATGGAGCTGGAGGGTTGACGGTAAGCGAAATAAATCAGAAGGAAAAAGACTAATATTGGATGGCTTCACTTACGTGTGGAATACAGAACAACCAAACAAAGGGGCAAAGTCAAAGCCTGAAAGCCGGTCCGATACAGATATGAGGCACATGAAGGGAGGGGAAGGGCTGTCACCAGGGGCTGGGGAAGGGCACAGGGGTATGGTGATCACCTATGGATGCTGTAGTGGTGGGGAAAATCATGCACTCTCCACAAATTAAATTTAAAAAATAATAAACTTGTAGTCCAAAAAGGTTAGAGAAGTTTTAATCAGTCATGAAAATTTGTCTGAGTTTTAAGATGCCCTGAAGAAGACAAAATATAAATTGGAGGCCCTCCCTGGTGGCGCAGCAGGTTAAAGCACAGCACTGAGAAGCTAAAGCCACTTCAGCATGAGTTTGATCGCGCCCTGGAGGTGACCACATGGCGCAGCAGACCTCTCCTGACCCGCCTGCTGCTCCCCTCAGCAGTGTATTTCCCCAGTCAGCCTGTCCTGCTCCCCACTCTGTCTCTGGTGAATCCTCTCACCCCTGACCTCTGGCCTATACCCTGCTCTGTATGCATAAATAAATAAATCTAAAAAAAAAAAAAAATAAACTGCAGACAGATCTTCAGCTATTTTGTTTAAAATTCTCTGAATTAAAATAACCACATACTCTCAGACTGCAATTCTTACCTTAGCATTATATTAAAAATTTAATTCAGACAAAAGTCTAAGATTACAAATCCAAATAAAATAAAGTGACCATTAAAAAATTAAACATACTGTTAAGTGGTTTCCGAGATTCTTCATTCTCCATGCCCTCTATTCCTGAACTTTCTTCTATTTTCATTTTTGCTTTTTTGGTTCTTCTCTTATCCTCTTCATTCTCACTATCTGCTGTGTAAAGACTTTGATCTGCAAAGGGTTGTCTCTCATCTCTGTATACAGAAGGAAAAGCAACCAAGTCAGAAAAAATGCAATGAGGTGGCCAAACAGCAGAACCCCAACCACCCACTCCCAGTCAGCTGTGTAACATGGGGGCTGGGGATTCAATGAACAGAGGGGGTCACTGAAAACTAACTAGTCTGATACACTGATCTCCTTTACATACTTAATTATTCTTCCATTGGTCAGCAGTAATCGTAGATCATTATCTTTTGCTCTCCATTCAGGTACTGTGGAAGATGGCTGGAGATGTTTGTTGAATTTTCCATTCAGTTTAGAGCTCAGGACATCCTTCAAGGATAAAAACAGAACTTGCTTGACTTCCACCCTCAAATACACCTGCTTCAGTAGAAGACCACAGCGCACCACCACTTGCCCGCTCTGCGCCCTAAACAGTCACCTGTGAGGGGTGCAGTGGGGTGACACTAAAACTAAATGGCTCCTAAAACCAAAGCAGGACATGGCTCATCTGTCTGCAGCCTGCTAACAACGAAACACATGCTGCAGAGCAGAATGCAAGATGTGCGCCAAGCCAACCTGCGGGCGAGCCCCTCTGGCAGAAAGCACAGCCTGTGCCAACGTCCAGCCTCACCCTCGCGTCTTCTGCTGCAGCGCTAGCTGCCAGGCCCTCCAGGGACCCCTCCTGGACCTGGCCCTCATCTTCCTAACAGGCACAGTCGGCAAACTGCAGGCCCCAAACTGCTCTAGTGGGACAGAGGCCGCGTTACACAGAAAGACACAGGGAGTTCACTGCTTTTCATGATCTGAAGGGTACTTCCCTTCTGCAGTAATCTTTCTTCTTCAATAATAAATAGAACTTCCATAATTAGGCAACTCGCTTGGCCTGACTTGCTCCTGCTTCTGTCTACAACACTCTTCCTCAAACCTGTGGTTCTGTTTGACTTCTCACTACGTAAGCGTGAGTGCTTACTCACCACCCTAGACAAAGGCACCAGCCACCCCAACTCCTTTGTCTGACTCTTTCACAGCACTTGTTCTCTGAAACAACACATTTTTATAGTCTCTGTCTTGCCATCATTCTCATGTGAACTAGGATGGAAGTGACATGGGGGCAGGACCTAGGTGCTGCTCATTCTGGTATTTTCTCCAGAGGCTACAGGAGCATAGGGTCAACCTCAGTGACCCTAGCAGTGTGAGGTCCATTCCTCTGCTTCTACACAAATGCCTACAAAACTGAGTAGGCACAGGTACTGTCTGGCCTCTAGAAAGCAAAGCAGATTCGATAACAATAATGGTCGGACTGCCCTTTTATATTATCCTTTTAAAGACCTTTCAGGAACAACCAAACTTCCTTGTATGGTCATGAACTCAATACTTGCCTCTTCCCACGGACACATCTCCAACCTTCTGAGGACCTCCCTTGTGTGGAGTTCGAGGATGTCCAGGTTAGAAGGAGTTCGGACATTATGATCTCGAAGCTTCCTCATCTTCCGTCGGGAATGATATGGAGAAGTTGCTTCATTTGAGGATCGTGAAACTGGACACACAGTAGGAATTCCCTGAGATTTAACTGGTTTGCCATTTTCCTCCTTGAAGAATTAGATTTAAGAATATTTTGATGACAAGACTATGGACATACCTAAGTAATCATTCATAAAATTATAAGTATTTATTTAAAAAAGTAAAAACCATTCAATCATATAATCAAAAAGACCAAACCGTAAGACCTTTGCCCCTCATCTTCCCCCATAGTACCCTGTCAACATATTTGCTGACTTTCAGTATCATTCTATTTTTCTTTAAAGATTTATTTATTTATGCATACAAGAACTGGGGTACAGGTCAGAGATGGGGGGGCGGGTGAGAGGACTCATCGGAGACAGAGTGGGGAGCAGAGCACGTGGATCGACTAAGTGCACTGCTGAGGGGGGAGACAGGAGAGGTCTGCTGCACCACGTGGGTCACTCCCTGGCTGGGGATCGAACTCCTGTTGCAGTAGCTGCGATAGCTTCCTAGTGTTGTGCTTTAACCTGCTGTGCCACCAGGGAGCACCTCAGTGTCATTGTAAAGCTGCGCTGTACCAGTACCCCTCACAAAGACAGAGCACAATCTGCTGACCCAATGCTCAGAGCTGTTTCGGCTGCTTCGAGTTCTTGCCTGGGATGAACACTGTTCACCTATGTATTTCGGTCAGTCAGTGCTTGTTTTTTAAGCCAAAGCCACAAAGCGATGTAGTTTTTCAAAATCAAAACTCTGTTAGCACATCATGAAAAATAAACAGGTTACTTTCTCCCATCCTGATTCCTATTCTCCAGAAGCAACACCTGCAAGTTTTCTGTCATGGTAGTAACATAACCTAACATAGCTGTGTAGCACATGACCGGTGGTAACACATGTAATTTGTCATTTTGAGTGTTCAATACTAACTACATTTCCCTCTGTTGTCCAACAGTCACCGCCATCCATGTCCAGAACTTTTCAATCTTCCCGAACGTAAACTATGTACCTGTTAAATAAAAACTCTACATTCCTTCTCCCCCCAGCACCCAACCCCTGGCAACTACCAACGCCTTTCTCTGTGAACTAATTATCCATGAAACCTGGTATAAGGGAAACTATACCATATATATCCCTTTATTTCACTTGAAATGTCTCAAGGTTTATCCCTGTTGTAGCACATGTCAGAATGTCCTTTTTCAAGGCTGCATAACACTCCACGGCATGAGCAGCCGCTTTTGGAGGCGCCACCCGCCTGTGATGGAGACCTGCTCGGCCGCTTCCACTTGTGGCTGCAGTGAATTCCTGCATGCGCCTGTGTAGACACACATGTATTTATCTGCTGGGGCCAGCTTTTCAGTACACAAACATGTTCTGCTCTTATTTCTGCTTTTTCATTGTTACTTAGTTACTTGCTTCCAAATATGTAAATAACATGTTTATACTGTAATTTCTTCATATATTACTGAACTCCTATTGTACAAAATGAAGTCTCCACTCTTGCACCTCTCCTAAAATAGGCACTTCCTTTTCCTCCATTGTTCAGTATCTAAGTTAACTCAGTAAAAATGTATAGGCCACTGCCACAACATGCCACCACTTCATTTCCTTTCTTTCATATCCTTGGAGTTACCTCGCAAATCTTAATCAACTCACTTTCTATCTACATTGTTTTCTATGTATTTGACACCAACTGATAACAAAATTCTTAAATAGAAACATAAGAACACACAAACATATTATGTAATCTGCCATCTTTGTATTATTCTTTAGAGACGTCCCTCCTCAGGGATTCCAGATACAGTACAAGATGCCAGTTAACACAGAATTGCAGGGCCTCCCTGGTAGCGAAAGGGGTTAAGTTGCAGGACTATGAAGCTATCTGCAGCCACTGCAGCATGAGTTCAATCCCCAGCCAGGGAGTGACCCACATGGCACAGCAGACCTCTTCTGTCTCACCTACTGTTTCCCTCAGCAGTGTATTTCCATAGATCTATCGCTGGTGAGTCTTCTCACACCCCCCACCACCCACACCTCTGGCCTGTACCCCAGTTCTTATATGAACAAATAGTAATTCTTGTTAAAAAAGGACTTTAGGCCCTCCCTGGTGGCGCAGCGGGTTAAAGCACAGCACTAAGAGGCTTGAGCCACTTCTGCATGAGTTCGATCCCTGCCTGCGCCTGCCCAGGAGGTGACCACATGGCATGGCGGACCCCTCCTGGCCCGCCCGCTGCTCCCCTCAGCAGTGTACTTCGTCAATCTGCCTGTTCTGCTCCCCACTCTGTCGCTGGTGAATCCTCTCACCCTCTGCATCTCTGGCCTGTACCCCAGTTCTGTATGAATAAATAAATCTTAAAAAAAAAAAAAAGGGACTTTAAATAAATAAAATTGAATTGCCAATAAGGAGTCTTTCCTTGTCCTACTCCATCCTGGGCTGGATGCTCTTGCCTGCCTTCAGAGGCCTTTCCTGACCTTTTCCACTGCATTGTTCACATAACTACAGCCCCCATCACCATCTCTGGCTGTCTCTCCTTATCTTCTTCTCCTCCTTTATTTCTTGTCAATTCCTGCCATTTTAAAATATTTCTGGCCAGCCTCTTCCTATTAAAGAGCAACAGATCGGGGCTTTGTTTTGTTCACTGCTCTGTGCCCCTAGATGGTACAAAACAAACCACAGGGACTCAGTATTTCGAAAGATAAATTCTAGGTCTCCCCCTTTTTTGGTTTATTCCTGCTTTTTCTAAAATAGCACATCCTCTAAAAGTTTCTGAAAGAGGGAATGTGGGAAGTAAAACTTTTGCAGCTTGTTCTTGACATCATTATTTTGCATCATATTTGACTTACAGGTTGTTAACTATACAGACTTGTAGGTAGTTGATAGCCCAGAATGTAAAGACAAATCCACTATCTTCTAGTTTGCAGTGATACTGCCGAGAAATCTGACATTATTCTGATTCCCAAACCCTTGCATATGACCCCCCAATACTTTTAGAATTTACTAGGTCACGGGCATGCTAAGCCCTGACCTGGACTAGCTTTGGAACAAGTCTCTACTCACCCACCATGCCAGGCATTCAGTGGGGGTGCTCAAGCTGGGAACATTCGTCCTTGAATTCTAAAATATTTTTAGTATTCCTCTGATAGTTTTCTCCTTGTTTTCTAATGTCTCTTTCTGGAGCCTCTAGTATTTTGACGGTGACTGTAAAATGACCTTCTAAGTTTCTGTCTTCTTTTTAAACTCTATGGAAGGTTTGTCTAGCTTTATTTTCTAGCCATTCTATTCAAGTTGACTTCTGTCATATTTATAATTTTTAAGAAACTGTTTTTCTTTCTTCTGTGAGTATTTCTTGGTTATACAGCCTCTTGTTCTGTTTTCATGGAGGCAGTATCTACTCTTTTCTCTAATGTTTGGTTTTAGGACAGAGAACTTATTATTTGCTTAAAATACATTTTAAAATTTTTTGTTTATTTTTGGTTTTTGTCTTCAAAACTCTTCTTGGCTCTTTTCACATTTTAAAGGGAAAGCTAATTAAAAATCTAATCAGCTAAATCATATACAGTGCTGTAAATCAATGTTAGCTCAGTTGAGAAAAATTAACTGGCTTCAACAAATGGTAACAAAAACTGGATGAAGATATGGGAAAAATGTAATGTTTTGATTTACCTTTTGTGCTATACAAAAATTCAAGTTTGGCTAGTTACTAATTGTGAAAGCTTCTACAAAAAAGATATTGGGGTGGGAAAAGATTTCTTAGGACAGAAATACTAAAGAAAAAGGCTGGATCTCCTTAAAATTAAAACATTTGGTTCATCAAACCACAGCTAAGATACTGCAAGATAAGCCACTATACGTGTGTGTGTGTGTGTGTGTGTGTGTGTGTGTGTATGTGTGAGAGAGAGAGAAAGAGAAAGAGAGAGAAACAACGGCCAGCATCCATAATGGAGGCCTATAAATCGATAAGAACAACTCAATTTTACAAAGGGCAACAGATATCTCATGAGAAAAATATAAATAGCCAATACACAAGAAGGTGGCCAATACCATAACTCTTCAGAAAAATGCAAATTAATACCACAAGGAAGTGACATTTCATTCCAAGACAGCAAAAATTAAACAGATTGAAAACACCAAATATTGGCGAGGATACAGAACAGGTACGATCCCTCTGCTTTACCAGTGAAAGCATAAAATGGCACAACTATTTAGGGAAACCACCGGCAGACTGTCAGAAAGTTAAAAATTCACTTACTCTATTACTCAATAACTCTACTCTCAGGCATTAATGTAAGAAAAATGAGAACATATTATTTACCACAAAAAGACATACAAGAATGCTTTTAACAGTTTAATTCATCATGGTAAAATCTACAGATGGGCCAAATAAATATTAACAGAGGAATGGAAACCTAACTGGTGTTATCTATTGAAGGGACAGCTACTCAATATTTAAAAAACAAAACAACTCACACACAACAACATGGATAAATCACAAAGGCAGTATGTTGGATGAAAGAAGTGGACACAAAAACAGTGTCTCCTAAATGACTGCCTTGACTGAAATTCAAGAACAGGCTAGACTGAGCTATGGCACAGCAATAAAGGGCAGAGCCCTGAGCTATGGCCGATGGTGCGCAAAGACTGATGGGAAGGGAGAGCAAGAAGGGGCTTTCTGGGAATGAGAATGGCCTCCCTCCCACCTGGAGCACTGCTCACACAGGTGCACCACTCGCCAAAACTGAAAACTGTACTCTTACAATCCGTGTGTCCCACTGTATGTAAAAGGAAAGCTGAGTGGGGACTCTGTGTGACTGGGAGTTTCACCAGAGAGACCTGCCGGGGTTGTTCCACTGAAAGATTTCAGATTGTGGCTTGGGAGATACGGGCCAGGCTGCCAGTGTCCAGGTGGCCCGCTGGAAGAGGCATTTATGTTTGCAGACTGTTTTTCCTCCTCTTTTCATTCAGTGCACTCAAGGTCCCCAAGTCCACAGGCTCCAGCCCAACCTCGCAATAACTAAGCCTCGTTTTCTGCATGTGTTAAGGCAGGGGTGTGGAGGTGAATTTATTTTTACACACACCCTAACAACCCTGTTTTCAATCTCAGCTGTACTTGCATATTCCGAGGGTCCTCTTGACCCTATATCCTGAGCTTTATGAATGATCTACTGTCATTTCTAGAAACAAATGGAATATTGAAGCTTTACTCTGTACTTGATTTTGTATAATAACCTAGAGAATCTGAAATAGCTTGGCAATATTCCTTCATCACTTCATTATGATACCATACTCTAAACTTCTCTCTAGGACATTTGAGGCCTGGAAACCTAAGAATTCTTCTAAAACAGCTCATTCGACCTGTTTCCTAAGTGTAGCAGAGCCTTCAAATGTCTGCAGTGTAGAGGTTGATCCATCTGCTTCTCAAAGATGGTAACCAAACGTTCAGATGATAGCGCCCAAGCTTACCTCTATTGCTCGAATTACTTTAGAAAGTTCTTTAATGAGATGTCCAGGTCTAACATTGTCTGGAATTTCAAAGGCATGTTCAGACACAAGCTGTATTTGGATCAACAAAGAAAAGAACCAAAGTTACTTTAATCTGGAAAAAATAATTTCCTAACACAACTTTGGGGATTTCTAGGTTTTACAGACATAGCCAAATACAGTAAGTCAGTTCTCAGGGTTCATGTAATTGGTGTGAGACCTTCTAAGGAGAGCCTCAGTAATGTGTAAATTCTCTTAGAAAGAGCTAAAGACACACTAGCACACAGTGAATTTTGCTTTCTATTGAGTAGTAACCTCATATTCGACTTCTCAAAGTCTGCTGTATTTCTAACGACTGTCAGTCAGCAGTAACTAATTAAGCTTGGCATTTAACTTCTAATAAATAAGAACATGGATGTGTAGGAGGGAATACAGGTACTAAAATAATCCTAGTTTCTTGTTGGAAATCTAATTTGAAAAATTTTTAATAAACTTTTCATAGTCAAAAGCAAAAGAGGGAAAAGATCCATGCTAGGGAAATAATTAATTAACTTGTGAGTTACCATATCTGCAACTACTCTCATTATTTACTATGTCTATGTCCAGATATTCATGTTTGTATCTAAGAGCATTCTGATTTTTTAATTGTACTCAGTGTAAGTTTTTATCTTTGCTTCACATCCTTTATTGGTAAAACAAACTGATAACAACAGTGACGTAACGTGCCAGGCAAGTGTCCGTTAAGGACTTTGTGAGCGTTAGTGCATGTAATTCTTCCAACAACTACCACCACAGTGATACTGCTGTCATTCTATTCTGTAACCAAGGGAACAAAAACACAGAGGTCAGGAAATTAGCTCAAGGTCACTAGTTTATTAGTAACAAAACCAAGAGCTGAATCCAAACATCTGAACCCACAAAGTCCATGCTCTTAACCATTATTCTGCGTGTCCTCTCATGTGAGAGCAAAGTTAACAGTTCCAGTTGTTAAGGGGAAAGGATGTCCTGAACGAACTCTGCAGATGTGCGGTTTGTGGACACCACCCCCTATTCCAGTCACTGAAACTACAACTCCCAGCAACACCAAAGAGAGGACTGTGAGGACCCAAGGGCGGAGCTAAGCAGCCACTTTGAGACTTTCTGGGGTATATATAGAGAGAGGAGCCACGTTGGGCTCTCTCTCCCCCTTGGCCTCTTGCTGGTGGCTGGTTGCTTGGTTCTTGATGAGCTCTCAGTGTGCTACTGGGTTCCAGTCAGCGGAACTGGTAGGATGCTCTAGTTAACTTGTATCTCTCTACCCATTCCCAGGGCTGTTCCTTTTCTTTCTCCTTTGTAAATAAACCCATTATTGGCCATTTTTGTGTGTGCATGCAGTATAATTGAATCTTAAGCACGTGGGGGAGGATCCACAGACAGGTGGCCCAGTTCACATTGGGTTACCCTGTAACACAAGCATCATGTTTTTAAAAGTGAATGTCAAATGTAATGAATTCATAATCTTTTTATCAATGAATTTTACTGTGCATCAAAATCACCTAGGAAGTTTGTCCAACAGAGAGATGCAGAGCCTATCCCAGAGCTATTAAATCAAAATCTTCTCGGGGAGGACTCCAGTGACATTATTGCTTAAAATTATTATTATTGTTTAAAAGTTCTAAAGGCAATTCTAATCAACACCCCAGTTTGAGAACCATTTGTCCAAAGTCTTCAACAGGAAACAAATGACACAATCTTTGCAATGTGTCTTTCATTTTGTTGTCATCCTGGAACATAGCTTTGTGGTCTGGCTATGTTTTCACTTTTCATCTAGATGATGACCTTTTTGGTATATATGTTATTGCTTTTACTTTCCTGAATGCTTCTACAGTGTCTAACTCGAGTGGGAATGTTGCAATGTTAGTAAAGTGAAAAGAAGTATAAAATTACTGGGAAGGTAACATATTAATCATAGTCTCCCAATAGCTCTTATTTTTCTTTCTCCCCCAAATATCTCTAAGAGCAGGATTTTTATTTTAAGTGGATGGATATTCAAGAAATTGGTATGGAAATGTTATTTTTCACTATCTGACATATTTGTCATTTATTAAAAGTACACGAAGTCCCAAAAGGGAAAGGAAGATGACAACGTGCCTGTTCTTTAAGAACACATAAGCCTAGTGAAGGGGACATGGATGCCTTACCTAGCAGGCCTGACTTCTAAGCCCATTGGCACAGGAATGTTTACAGGAAGCAGAAGAGAAGAACATAGCAATTCCCAATAGAGAGATAAGCTGGCCTCTTAAAAATGGTAGGATTCAAATGCAAACAACTAGACCACAATTTGGTAAAAACTGCGAACCTTGACCCACTTAGCCTTCCTTTCTCCTTAGTCTGGGGATGAGAGCACGCGCTGTGCCACCAGAGACACAGCTTTAGGTCCCAGCTCAACCAGCAGCCTCAGGCAAATTACGTACCCCTCTCTGAGCCGCAGATTTCCTATATGTAAAATGAGAGTAACAACTAACTGCACCCGACCTCACAGAGCAGCTTTGAGGATGAGATGAGATTATGGAGATAAAGCCTAAGAAGAATGAGCAACACACTATGGGAGCTCCAAGTCATTTATCATTATCCTCTATCTACATGTTCATTTCTTAGCCAATATCCTAGATATACCTAAATTATTTTATTTTCCAAATGAAAAATTATAGGAATACCTAGGTACTTTATTTTTGCAGATACGAATAGAAACCAGTACCTCTGATTTATCCCCTCTACTACTGCCAACTTCTAAGTGCTGCCAAAACAGCGTAAGTGTTCTGCCTCCCTGGCCCTGCCATGTAAACCACGCCAGTTATTTCCTCAAGGAAAACTACTTACTTCTTTTTTCATCCACAATTTCAAAGCAGCATGCAGTGCCTTCACCCCCTGCACGAGGTACGTCTGAGGCTGGAAGCCGTCTTCCCGTAGCTCTGCGGGCATGGGAGAGGAACGGGGAAAGGAGGTAAAGCATCCTGCAGACAAAGGCTAAATTAGCTTTGGATTTTAAGTAACGGGTGTACACGCTCAGGCCGCAGGGCAGGACACGGGGTCTCCAAGCCCCACACGGGACGCGGGCGACTGTGGCGGAGAGCACCGCAGCACGCGGGAGCTGCTGGGCGACGCCACGTGTGCGGGCAGGACCAGCGCCGCCGTGGTCTCGGGATCATCTCCCTGGGCCTGCTTTGGGGCTGCAGGCTGGAGACTCTGCCTAGCTCCAAGGCTTCTTGCCAGGGGCCCTGCAGACACAAAGGGGCAACAGGCCCACCACACGCGTGAGGGCTCCTGTGTCAGAGACCTCCGTGGCTTTGCCAACACAGGTGTCGGGGTGAGCCAAAGAAAGTCTGCTATTTAATTACCTTTCAGGGTTTCCAGCAAGTTTTTGGCTACAAACCAACATATGGCTTCAAAGAAAGGGAATTTGAAGAGATCTGGTGTTTTTAGCCTTTTCTCCATCTCATAACACCTAAATGAACCAAATTTGAGACGATTAATATGACCACTTCAATTTGACTTTGCTCTCCCCTACAGAGAATTTGAACCCACAGGTCATGACACAGGGGGCCAGACAAGTACTGTGTGCTGCATAACAACGTAGGCTGTGATCTTCTCCAGATCTGACCTTACAAATGCAACCGTGCAATGAAGAATTCTTCCTAGAAGATCACACCTTGGGATGTGAGTTTTAAAAGGAGTTCCAGGAGGTTCCCGCTCTAACAAATGAGACAATGTTTAGAAAACAGCTCTGCTTGTAGGACAGGAAGGGACACCCCCTCTGGGGGTTTCCTTAGACCCTGCTAAACTTCCAAACCCAACACCACACTGGGAGCTGCTCAAGGTGAGGAGACGGGACCCACAGTTGCTGAAATCTGAGAGAAGCCATGCGGCAGTGCCCCTGTGGGGGTGGTTCAGGCCTGGGGAACGAGAGCCACACAGTGAGGCTTGAAGCCCTGTCAGAGTCACCCCTTCTTGTAATAACTCTACTAAGCAAAGCTTCCAGGGTTTCCCAGGGCCATGCCAACTTACAAGAATCACCACACTCAGGAAAGTTTAGAGATGCGGCTCCTGACAGACATTTCTAGTTCCACCCGTCCAGATGTAATGTATTTCATCAGTCAGGACTCACGTCAGCACAAACAGTAATGCCTGGCAACAGTCTACCCTTGGTAGGCTGCGGGGACAGCAGCCAGTTCTCTCGCAGGAGGGGAGAGGGCTGCTCACCCAGTGCCCATCGAAAAGTGAAAGTACGTGCTTCGACAGCAGCCCTGACACCAGCTCCCGCGCCCTCTGTTAACACCTCAGTCTGATCAGTCAGCTCATGCCCTCACCATGACGACAGCCAATGGAGCCATATGTTTTTATGGAAGTCTGAAATGCAGGGAGCCACGGAGTTTCAAACTGAATATTCTTTTTTTCACTTTAGATTTCAAATGTATCAAAGTCTCCTGCCAAAATTTCCAAACAGCATTTTTCTTAAAAGTTCCTATCGCTAATCATTCTTGGGGGTCTCTCTCCATGACAGCTCAATTAAAATATGTTGTGAACCTGTTTCTTTGAAACTTTTACACAATGTCCTATTTAAGAAAAGACAAAAAACATTTTAGCCCTGGTGACACAGACCTGAGCTGCATGCCAATGTTAAGGTTGTGCAGGAAGTTCCCCCCAAAAGCCATACAGTCCTGAGAAGTGAGCACAGCATGAATCCACCCTGAAATAGTAAAAAACATATAAATCAGTGATTTTTCAATCTTGAAACCAAAAAGTTATCATACCTACCTACGAATAAAGTAACTCAAAATATCAACATTGGGCTATACTCCATGCTAAGCACAGCTCACAGACTCATTCAAATGTTTATTAAATGCTTATTGTAAGCCAGACTGTGCTGAGCCTGAGGAAACACACTGATGCATTGCTATTCAGCATAAAGTTTGGGGGTCATTGCCATTGCAGTTTCCCTTTTTAGTTTTAAAAACACAATCCAACTTTATATGAGATTTTGTTCTGAGACTGTCAGATCTGGTTAGAATGAAGCAAGCGCGTTTGCCAGCAAATGAACACCGAGACTGGCAGAGTGCTTCGCGGCAGCGTGACCCAAGAGGAGCGTCTCAGCGGCCGTGTCGAGGGCCAGAGGCCCTCCAGCAGACCCTGTCTGAGGCAGGTGTCTGGGAAGGCTGTGGGCCCGTCAGTGAAAATGCTGGCGAGCAAAGTGATGTCTGGTTTTCCCATGAAACTGTTTTCAAAGTGAGACTCACTTCTGAAAAACGATGCCTGCCTTTTGAAAGAAATGTCTATAGGCTGAAGACCAGTAATCGCACACGTTTACTATGTAAAACTTAGTTGTTAAAATAGACTGATCCCATTTCCTTTGTATTTTTCACCTTTTGGGCCATAATTTGCTGTGACCCATTATCAAAAACCTCCCCAGAAGACTGACTTCCACGTGCTGTCCACGTGTCTCCTCATAGGCACACAGCTGTGAGCCTGGTGACCCTGAACCCAAGGGCTGAAGTGTGGCAGCTCCCAGTCCTTTAGGTCAACAGCTTCCTAGCAGCAGGCCTGCCTGCCCACAAGGTGTTTGGGAGTTCGTGGGGCTTTTCTGGATGGTCACAGTGGCAGGGAGGTGCTGCTCTCACTGTGAGAGCAACACGCGGAGGGCTGCACGGTGGAGAGCTGTCTGGAGTCACGAGACCTCCATTCTGCTGCCATCCGCGTGCTATGAAATCCATCAGCAGCAGTGTGAGCCCAAATCTACAACCCCACATCTGGGTGACTAAGTATTTCGTGCATATTTTTGGTACAATTTTTCAGGAACATAAATCATCTAATTTGAAGGAAACTATACATCCAACTTGTTTGGAGTTTATCAGGTGCCACGACTCTGGAAAAGAATCACAGCATCTACAGTGGTGGTCCTCAAGTGTGGTCTCAAGACCAGCCACACAGGTCTAGACTGGAAACTTACTAAAAATGCAAATTGCCAGGGGCTGAACTCCTAGGGAGAGCCCAGAAATGTGTGTTTTAGTGAGCCCTCCAGGTGACTGATGCTCTGTGCCCTTACAACACGAAGCTGGGTTACGCCCATACCTGTTACCGCGGGCTTGCGCACCCACTGGGCCATCTTCGGATGCTGCAGTGCCTAAGCAGGCACAGTTCACATCAACATTCTATTATAAGTTACTTTTTAATTTGTTCTTTATATTCTAGCTAGGTCATTACATCAAATTTTAAAAATTATTTGTGGGGGCCCTTCCTGGTGGCACAACGGGCTAAAGCACAGCACTGTGAAGTTATCCGCAGCCGCTGCAGCACAATTTCAATTCCAGCCAGGGAGCTGACCTACATGGCACAGCAGACTGCTCCTGTCTCCTCACTGTTCCCGTCAGCCGCGTGTCCCGGGGTATCTGCCTGTTCTGCTCCCCACTCTGTCTCTGGTGTAACCTCTTACCTCCCGCACCGCTGGCTTGTAACCCAGTTCTTGTATGCGTAAGTAAATAAATCTTAAAAAAAAAAATTTGTGTGTAGGAGGTTATATGATTCATGAATTTGATTTCAGAAAATTCATAAAATATTTGTTAAAAAAGAGATTCCTAAGGAAGGATCTCGGTTCATTCACAATGAGTATATTGGTAGCTATTTACAGACTGCTTTTTAAACACATTGACAACTACAGAACTTTACTATTTTTTTTTTAATTTTACTAGTTTTTAAAAAGACTTATTTATGCATACAAGAACTGGGGTCTAGGTCAGAGGTGGGTGGGGTAGGGGAGAGGCCGGGGATGGAACTCATGCTGCAGTGGCTGCAGAGAACTTCATAGTGCTCCCCTATGACCCCTTGTGCCAACAGGGAGGCCGCTTATTTAGACTTTGAAATTCTTGTAGTTCTAGGCACTTGTTGTCTTATTACCCCACATATTACAGACACCAAAGGCCAGGCAAGGAAACTGGGGCAGTGGCCACACCCCTGCGATTGCTGTAGCATTCACTGACACAACCCAAATCAGAACACAGCGCTGGATACCCTGGGGCCTGGACAGTGTCCACACTACACAGTTGAGCCTAAGCTAAGACTGGCTCTCAACCCATCCGAGATTCTCTCAGGCTTGGCCTGTGCCAGCAATGCACAGGCTAAAATTGAAGAGAACTTCACTCAAATGTAAAATTTTTGTCCTAAAGAAATTATCAAGAAAATGAGAAAAAAAAAACCCACAGAGAGAGAGAAAATATTTACATATAGCTATTAAGGGTCTGGTATACAGAATATATCAGGAATGCCCACAACTCAACAAAAAACCCAACTTAAATATAAGCACAGGATTTTAATAGATTTCTCCAAAGAAAACATATAAATGGCCAATAAACACAAGAAAATTGCTCGTCACCATTACTCACTAAGGAAGCCCCATCAAAACCACAAGGAGGTGCTTCATACTCACCATTATGGTAAAAGCCACAGAGACAGCTACAGTACTAGTGAGGGTAAGGAGAAGCTGGAACACAGGGCAACTGCTGGTGGGAATGTACACTGGCATAGCCCACTCCAAAATCAGCCTAGCAGTTCTTTAAAAAGTTCAAAGTGATTAACGACCCAGTGATCCTACAGCCAAGGAACATGAAATCTACCACCACACAAAACCTTGTACAAAGGCCAAAAAGTGGAAAGAACCCAAATGTTCATTCAACTGACGAGTGGCTTGACAAACACGGGTATATCAAAAAACGAAGTATTATTTGGCCATAAAAAGTAATGAAGTACAAAAACATGGATTAGTCTAGTAAATATTTTGTTAAGTAAAAGCTAGAAACAAAAGGGCTCATATATTCGCATTATATGTAAAATATACAGAACAGGCAAGCCCGTAGAGCGAGAAAGTCAGTGAGTGGCGCAAGAGCGGCAATAGGAAGGAGAGTTAATGGTATGGGGTTTCTTCTGGAGGCGATCAGATGTTCTAGAATTAGTGGTAGGGTTGTACAACAGCTAATTTATGAAGATCCACTGAACTATTTATGTTACAGGTGAATATTATGGCATGTGAATTTTATCTAAATAAAAAGAAAAATAAAGGCAAATGACATAAGCCATGATGCCAAGACAAGTCTACAAGAGACTATTTCAAAGGGCAAAGAAGTAAAAGTTCAAGAACAGAACTTTTTCTTAGCCTTGCAAAGCTATTTCCAAATGTATTAATGCCAAACCTTCAAATGAAAAGCAGAACTTCATGTAACTGTGTCAACTGTGGGGACCAGGGACAGGATTAAACCTCACTCACCTGTAGGAACAAATAAGGTATGTCCTTGCTTTACCACACATTTGTAGCATTTATCCACCTTATCTCCAAAGAACACTTCACTCTGGGTCACAGATGAACTCCAAGATTCATAGAGGGCCAAATTTCCATCTGTTGGCTTTATCAAATAAAAAATCTTCTCACCCTAGAGAAAGCAATAGCACTTTTTTGAAAAAGGAAAAGCCATTCTTAGGCTATCCTATATTGATACAATTTCCCAATGCAATAAGTTAGATAACCATCAAGCTTTTTTAGTCTCAAAAGGACCTATTTCATATACCTGGTTAGTAACTATTGCCCTTAATAAACAAGAGCTAAAGATCCCCTTCCCAATATAAAAAGCAGTATTAAGGAAATTATAAGAAAGGAAGGTAAAGGACCACAATCTGATCTCACTTTTTTTTTTTTTGAAGATTTATTTATTTATGCATAAGAACTGGGGTACAGGCCAGAGCTGCAGGGGCGGTGAGAGGCTTCACCAGAGACAGAGTAGGGAGCAGAACAGGCAGATGGACGAAGCACACTGCTGAGGGGAGCAGCGGGCGGGCCAGGAGAGGTCTGCTGCGCCATGTGGGTCACCTCCGGGAAGGGGATCAAACTCAACACTGAAGCTGCCAATAGCTTTGCAGTGCTGCACTTTAACCTGCTGAGCCACCAGGGAGGGCCCCTTTTTTAAAAAAGATTTTATTTATTTTTGCACAGAAGAACTGGGGAGTAGGCCAGAGGTACAGGGGAGTGAGCAGATAGGGAGCAGAGAGAGTGGGAGGCACAACAGATGGATCTACTGAAATACACTGCTCAGGGGAGCAGTGGGCGAGACAGGAGACATATAAGCTGTGCCATGTGTGGATTAATTCCCTGGTTGGGATCAAACTCAGGCTGTAGGGGTGACAGAGTTGAGACTTTACTCCCAGGCCACCAGTGAGGCCCTGATCTCATTTTTAAAGTACAAAAATAATATATACTAGTAATAACCAGGTTACAGAAAGTAAGCTGCAAACACTGCCCTTTCTCCCACAAGTTGTGATATAAACATTGTTTTTAAAGACCTATAAGTAAACTTCCTTTAATGAAGAAGCCCTTCACTCTCTCCTGAACTAGAACAGGAGAAATGGAACAGGAGCTCAAGGACACAGTATCAAACAGAGCACTGCACAGATATTTGATATATAGACGAAGCTTTGGTTGTAGACCAGCTCTGTGCAATGAAACTCTCTGTGATGATGGTAATGTTTAATATTTATATCATCTGACACAGTAGCCATAAGCCACAGGTGGTTGGCTATTAAGCACTTGAAATGTGGTTAGTGCAAATGAGGAGCTGAAATGCCCATGATATTTCATTTTAATTATTTAAATTTAGCCCTCTGTGTCTAGTGGATACTGTATTGAGCAATGCAGTGCTAGAGAAAGCAAGGTGAATACGCGCTACTAAGAATTAGCTATTTTTTGGACTCAGCCAACTGGCTGTACTAGCTGGGCCATAAGATCAGAAGCAATTATTACTGTAATTTTGCTCCTTAGTTATTGGATTTAGGGATTAACTGATAACTGATTAGGGCCAAGAGGAAACATAGAGAAGATAGAAGGTCAAAAGAAAACAACTTATGAGAAGAGGCCAAATAAGGAATCTAAATATAATATTTAAATGATAGATACTAGCTAGAGAGCACAAAATTTTTCCTCTGCACAGCAAATGAACATACTCCTGGAGAAACATGACTGTATGTCTTTATCAGTAAGAAAACATCAAAAAAAAAAAAAAGCCAGCCTTACCCAGAGGACATGGTACCACACTGAAGTCCCACCAAAGTCGATGTGGAAATCTGTGTAGCTGTCTTGAACTCCCATCAAACAGTACTTCTGAACAAATGGCTTAGGAAAGACTGAGTCATCTGGCCAGTAATTTTCCACCCAAGAAAGTTTTCTGGCTATATCAGGGACCTCCACCAATTCAGACATCCTTTAAAAAAGCAAATACACATATACACACATACCCACAAATTAAAGTTTCTTAAAATTGCATTTCCCACCTCAACCCAAACCAAGAAATTAGCTGGAACTCAAGGTAAACAATAAAACTTAAGACCCATCATATTTCTATATACTCTCTAAGCGTGCAAAGGCAAAATTTAAAACATTGCTACCAATGGACCACTTTAGAAGTCACAATTATGTTTCTTACTAAAATAGATTTACCATTAAACTACATTCAGCTAACACTCAGAAGGCTAACCCAAAATGTCCAGAGCTACTCACTTTGTATCTGAAAATTCAAGGCTGATCACATTTAACACTTTTGGTCTGTTAGGATTCATGAAGTATTTAACATAATTGTGAAGTGTCATTTTGCTGTCTGCCTGCCTTGCCACATCAATGACATCTATCACTTTGTCACCACCTGCAGAGAAAAATTATAGTCTCATTATTGGGCTTACGGGCTACACCACAGATGTCCTAAACAAAAATATTTTAAAGACCATAAATTCTTGACATGATATTAAGCCAACTATATAAAGCTACATAGCCTAGAGAAAGGTCTTCCAATATCCTTAATTTTTAAGTCCAACTGGAACTTTTGAGGAAAAGGATGATTTCTGAAGGAAAGAGCAAAGCAATCAAGATAGCGCCACATAAGTAATACTGACCACAACCACTTACATCGCTGACAAAGCTTTTTCTAGCCCCGTGATTTCTCATGGGCAGCTCATGACAAAATGCATCCCAAAGGTGTACGGGAACAATGCCACATGCTTCTGGGGTGGTTTCCTCATGAAAACCCTGAGGATACCAACTTTTCCCTTCATTCTTATCACACCAAAGACTCTAAGTCTACTACTCTGAGAAACCAAGCAGCTGGCAGGGGATCTGTGGTCAAGTTAAACAGGGTTAACAATTTCTGCTGCCTGGCAGGTCTTCTCTTCTAATACTCTGCTTCAAGACAAGAGTATTGGTTAGGAAGAAAACACAGGCCATATTCACGTCTGAATCGAGTTCCGAATTGGGGTCAATGCACAATTTTTCTGGGAAAGCGGCAGGTGTGGCCTGTACAACCTGCATGGCCAGCCAGATGGCTCAGTCAGTTTCCCAAGGCTCTGGAGGGAAGGTGGCACCCAAACCCTGACAATTTTCATCAATCTGAAATAGGAGACAAGCAAATGCCATTTCTGACTTTAATGTAACTTGGTATGATTAAGCTAGTACTGCCTTGTAGACATTATCTTTAGGAGGCAAGATGACTTTTTTTTTTTTTAAAGATTTATTTATTTGTGCATATAGAACTGGGGTACAGGCCAGAGGCTCAGGGGCGGTGAGAGGCTTCACCAGAGACAGAGTGGGGAACAGAACAGGCAGATCGACGAAGTACACTGCTGAGGGGAGCAGCGGGTGGGTCAGGAGAGGTCTGCCGCGCCATGTGGTCACCTCCCGGGCAGGCGGGAATCGAACTCATAGGGAAGCGGCTTTAGATTCTCAGTGCTGTGCTTTAACCCGCTGCGCCACCAGGGAAGGCCGGCAAGATGACTTTTATCAGCCAAATGCTTCAGTATTAAAAAGGTTAGTTCCCAAGCAGTCTGAACCTTGCCCCAACACTTACATGACGGCAGTGTTTTCGGACAGTGTTGCCTAGCGAACCGGTCAAGCTTCATCCTTTAATCTATCAACTGTTCAACTGTTCAGTCAGAACTGCTAACTGATGGCTCACTGAGGGAACAAGTCCTCAGACTCTGCACACTGTGGGGACAGCATACTGCAGTGCACACAGGATTTGGGGCTGGAGCGGCAGACTGGAGAGCTCCTCACAGTCACGTCCGTTACTGTGCACAGTCAGAATGTATCCGTGAGTACCAACATAAGAATGTAGGACATGACTAAAAAGGTCAATGATGCTGCCACAGGTGAAGGGCTTTCCTGGAGTTTCCTATTCTTTTCTGGGCCTCCAAATCACAAGAAGTCCACACAGCATCAATGTCCACCAAGTCACTAATATAAAAAAAAATGTTTAAGAAGTCTTTTGACAGCCTTTCTCCAAGCAGCAAGAGGTCACTCACTACAGGAGCTCCAGAGGGCAAACGATGCAGCTGATGTGCCGGGTCAGGATCTGGAGCCTAAGTGCCACAGAGGCCTAAACCCAATCCATTTCCCGATTCGTGCTTCCTCAGTACTTCAGCTACCCATCAGGAACAACTTTTTCTAAACAAGTACCGGAAAATTTAATAACAACAACAAGGCAGATGAAGCATGTTTTCTGGTAATTTAGGCCAACTGAGAAAAAATTGTTGTCAACATAGATGGTAGTGAATTTCAGTTTCCTGACTCAAGAAACTGAACTAAGTCAACATCTCTTTCTTTAAAGTTATCAGGATAGTACCAGTGACTTGCACCATGTTTTTCCAAGTACTTAAAGGAATCAGGTCCGCACCTACATAACGTTCCACGTCCATAACAGAAAAAGTGGGTGGAGGGAGCCTGAGTCCTAGGTCATCTAGCTTGGCGACCATAATAGGGACTTCAAATCCATGCTTCTCCAGGTACCTCTGCGTCAGCTGGCTGCCGTGCGTCTTCACGATGACCTCATCAGCACTGAGGAAAGAATAAGGCAAAATGTTATCTTTGTTGGTCTAAGTTTCCCCATAAGCCTGCATGATTGCCCCTCATTCCCTAGGAAGATTCTGAAACACTTGAATTCCTTAAACATGGCACTTAGCTTTCCTTGTTGGTCAAAGACCTATAGATACCAGTGATTAAAAACATATTATTACTTGTAAGAGAAGAAAAATGGGAACATACTAGATGCACAGCGGAATGGGGAAGTCAGTCTGGGGGAACACCTACGTGTGTGTGCACATGCATGGACCTATGAAATATAACGGGATGTCATGACACTTACATGACATCACCCAAAGTTTGTTTTTAAATTGTGTGTGTGTGTGTGTGTGTGTGTGTATGGCATGTATAGTACAAAAAATAGTACATGTATAAAAATTATATACACATATAAAACAGTTTGTAAATATTAGATATTCATACATCTATATACAGACATATTTTAAATATTTATTTAATATTTACTTATGTACAAAAGACTTAAATTAGGTCTTAAAAATAGGTGAAGGGTAAGAAACCCATTCCACTTTATTTTATATACCTTTGTGTATATATAATGACATCAAGTATGAGTCATTTACTCATTACTGTTACTCTTCTACTGTATGAAGTGGTGTGAAGGTCTATGAAGCTGAACAACATAAAGCCAAGGGCCTCTCATCAGCGGTGAGCACAGTGCAGGCCTCTGTGAGAGCCCTGTGGCTGCTCTCACATGCGCTCACTTTGGCAGAGAGCCGCAGGCATTAGTCAGGGCGTGCAACACTACTCTTTTGGGTCACAAACCCACTTGAAAAAAATGAATGTTCCTCCCCATGAAAAATGCACACTCACACACTGACACTAGTATGTTTATATACACTTAAGGGAGCTTCTCTGACATCAGCTCAGACTCAGGCTGAAAACTCTGACTGTAAGTGCCAAACCAATAAAGGAAAACAAACACTTCTCTAAAGGCCCTGAAAGTGATAAAGGAGACTATTTGAGAACAGGGCCTTTAACATCACAAAATGATATGCAAACCAGTTTCACATGTGTGTTCTTTCTGCTAGTAGCTCAATGTTGATAAGCAATAAATGTTTATCATTTACACGTTTCTGTTTAAAGTTGAAAGGGAGGGGTCAGACAGCAATCCTAAGATTATGAAGAAATAGCAGGGGGTTTTATGATTGCAGGATCTAAAATAATTCCATAATAGGCAGCATGTGATATTGTGATTTAAATTTGAATTGTACTTCCCCTCTTTAACAAGCCTGGATATGGCCTTGTATAAAAGCCTATTAAGCATTATCACTTTAAATAGATGTCAGGCAGTGAGAAGGAAGTGATCTAAATGAGCATGATTAAATGCCACATAATGCTTTTGACTCTCTTTTGAGCCACAGATAACTCAAATACTTTCCATTATCTTTAAAAAACAAACAAAAAAAAGTGCGGTCATGGGGCCCCAGAGGCTGAACGGTTAGGGTAGACTCCTGACTGACTGACGGAGAGAGATGTGAAAACAACACAAGACAAAAGCAGCTTGAAAACAGAAGCATAAAGAGAAAGGGAGGCAGCAGCTGCGAAACATCAGGAACAAAGTCCTGGGGACCGCGGCTGAGATCATGTACTTCAGGCTTTAGGCCTGAGACTCACAGTCAAGAAACAAGTTCTTACATAGTAATTAGTGCACCCTGCACACACACACAAGTTCCATGAAGCTACTCTTAGGTACTTCTATCATTTGCAAGAAGGAAATTTTCTATTCTACTTCATTCAAAACAAACAAACTAAGAGGCTGACAGAGAACAACAGAATGCACACTGAAGTGTGAGAACACTGCTTCAGATCATAGCACCTTGCCAGGTAACAGTCTTAACATTTTCTTGGCCACGAGTTCACATACCTGGGGAAGACCCGGGACCGCAGTTCCCTAACGAAGGCTCTAGTCCCGGCCTGCACCGGCTTGGACCCGTCGTCGGTCTCTGTGTAGTCATGTCTGTGCCAGTTCCTCCTCTTTTTCACTGGATTTTTAAAAGATTAAGAAAAAAACATTTTTGGTAATTGAGGTTACTATGTGCTATCTAATTAGTATCATCCATGTTCAGAAATAACAACAGCAACAAAAACACCCACATTTTTAAGGCACTTCCAGGCCAGAAGAGTAGATTACACTTTATGTAATGTCGCAATTACAGGTTTACCCCACTATTCAAAATTAAAACATTCCTATTTGGTATGATTTAATAGGTTATTTTTTGGGTCTAGCAAGGGTCCAAAAGCTTTCCCCTCTAAATTAAAAGCAAGAGAATTAAGTCCCAGAGCCAAAAAGTAACCTACCAAATTGGAATGTTCTATTTTTGAATAGCAGGGGAAACCTACATAGGTGATTATTGAAAAAAATCCACTCTTGTTCTTGATCAAAATAACCTAAAAATTAAATCAAGGAAATTCAAACTAGCAGTTGTGGATATTGTGCTATATATATTAGATATACTATAAAATCTCATAATTATTTACTATCATGATGCTCACTCAAATATAGGCCAGAGGTAATATGATCTTTATGGATCATCCAAGTCATTCTCTCAGGATGGGGCTTTTCATCCCACATTAGACATCTCTCTTACAGCATGGTTCCCTTTCTCTTTATGTCAAGAGTAATTTGCAAAATAAACATGGTTATTAAACGAGAGTCAGCAAGTACGTCAAAAGTAAAATAAGACAAGTGGGCTGATTAAGTAACTATGGGCAGTTCTAACAAAAGGATTCCTGACTCTACAGACCTGGGAGGTGACAGGCATACAGTGCTAGGAGACTTGGATTTGACTCCCAGTTTGGCCGTAGCAACTCTGCAACCTTGGGCAGGTCACTGAACACACTGGGGTCCAGTTCTCCCATATGGAAATGGAGAGGATGAGTGGTTTTCAAACTGTGGAAGAATCCCCTATGCTAGATGGAAAACAGAAAAGAACCCGATGGAGGGATGTGGGGCTGCATTCCCTTTTCTGCCAAGCTAGAGCCAGTTACAAATCTTTGGATGTAGCATCAAGATAAGATTTCAGTTTGACATTTCTTTTTTATGTCTGAAAATCACTTTTAAGCCCAAAACCTCCATACTTCTGGGAAGTGTGCTGAAATTGTTAATCTAGAATCCACCAAACAAATAACATGGCTATATACATGGATAGTTAGGAGGAAAGTTACACAAACGTGGTGAAGCAAGTAATATAAAATGTAAATAGTGAATGCTGATGGTGGGTAAAAGGCACCTGATGTAAAGTTCCTTCAACTTTTTCTGTATGTTCTCATAAAAAACACTTGGGGTTAGGGTAGCGATTCTATGAGTCTAAGTTACTTTAGACCGTCATTTCACAGCATACAGTAAGACTACCACAGTCATCCTGAATCCATGTACCAAGAGGTCATATGAACAGTAAGGGTGGAAATCAGGCCTAGTCAACATCTGAGTATCCACACGAGGCTCCTGCCTAAGTCTGCACACCCTCACTATGGAAGAGCATGTCCCATTTTTTAAAAATCTCATGAGAAAAATGAAGAATCATAAAGCAAACTTCCTCTTTCTGGAAAATAACATTAAGGCATCCTTTGTGTGTTATTTTTTCACATTTAAAATCACTTCTAAAATTCAAGGGTATTTCATTCCAGGCTTTGTTTTTTTTTAATACACCCACATACATATACATACATCTAACCCATTTTATTTTCAATGAGGGAATGTTTATCTTGCTTACCTTATTATATCATGAGCCCTTTCTCCTTATTAAATATTCAAAAGCAATTTAAAGGCAACCTAGATTTTTAAGATGTAGATGCATCATATTATAATTTTTTGATTCTTAAGTACTTAATTCATTCTGAAATCTTTCATCAAACAAAACTGAGATCAACATTCACATACACAAATCATTTCCTGCATTAGTTTTTCAGGATAAATAACCAGAAACACTGGAAAACTCAATATTTTTCAGATACTTGCTAAGCATTACAAAACTGCCTCCAGGAAAGTGTTGGGCAACTCACATCCCTACCTGTCTATATAAGCTGCCTATTTCTAAACTTTGGGTCAACAGTGAACAATATCACTTGAAAAAAAAAAAAAAGAAAGAAGAGCTGTCCATTTGGTAAGCAAACTATGATACTACAATGCTTAAATTATCATTTTTGTCAGAAAAGATTAGAATCAAAGCATACTGGGGGTTGGACAATTATAGGTTCAAACTCCAGTTCTGCTAAATAGCTATGAAAAACCCAATTAGGTAACTTATTTTACATCAAGGCCCTATATATTTATATCAAAGAAGATAATGTAAGGAGAAGAACTTCTTGTTAGCCTAGTGCCTGCTGCTACCCAGTAAGCTGTCAATCACTACCCTTTCTTTCTAAAGGTGCTGAAAACACAGGTAACACATTTGATCTGACCTGCTGGGCAGCACAGGTAACATATCCAATCAGCTACTGTAGAGCTGACTGAACCTCTTAAGAAGGAGCCCAATGAAGGAACATTTTAGTATTAAAGAGAAAGGAGGCAATTCTGAGTGTGGATGGTATGTGTTTGAGGATCACTGAGACTATGTGTTTACGTATTGGCCTGTTTTTCAATACATCCTCTCAAATAGAGTTCTTAATCACTGTTCAAGTAATAGCTCTGATAAGAGTACTGGGGACTTCTGAAAGGAAGAGAAAGCCCTGGGGAACATGCAAGAAAGGCTAAACAGCAAGAGGGAAAGAGACCAAAAGGAATTATCCAAATTGGGGGTCAATGGTGAGGGTGGGGAAGGAAAACCTTAAATCAAGATAAAAGAGGTTAGTGCATCTTGAGTATTAGCCCAGGGTACTGAGAGCTGGACATGTGCCCAGAAGATCACCAATGCCTGATCTTAAGTTGCTCAAGAATAAGCTACAAAGTCGGGAAACAGTCAAAGCTTCTCTCTGAAGTAGCATTATTCAAAGTGCAGGTCGTGATCCATTATGGATTGTGAAATCAATTTAGTGAGCACAACAAGCTTTTTGAAAAATTAAGTCATATAGGAAAAACAGAAAAGACAGCGTATATGGAGAAGTATTTTAATCAGTACATTATTCTGCCTCATAGTAACCACTTAATATTGCAAAGCATTATTACTTCATTTGGGGATCATATATTTAAATCCTAAACTAAAACTGCTATAAATTTTAGTTCTAGTTCCCTTTTGAAAATAACAGACCAGTGTATCACTAACTGCCTCCAAGAATTACGTAACTTGAAAGTTGTTTATTATAAACTTCCAGGCTACACAAAATAAGTGCGTATTGAGGCATGTTCAGAGTATGTTCACAGGTAAACCCTAAGATGCTTAAGTCCACAGTTTTTCCCTTCAGTTTCTATGAACACAAAAACACTAATGTGCAGGCTACATTTCTGGAGAAGAGAAAGAGTTGCAGCATAGCCCAGCATCTTTAGATCTTTACATTACGTTTGTACAATGACATTTCGTATTCCAACCTATTCTTCTGAAGTATTTGTAAATGGCTAACAATGTACATGATTTTATATGTGATACTGATACATTCCAGAGGACAAGTGAGCATTGCGGACTCTTGTCTTTGCGCCTCAGGAAGAAGAATGTGAACAAAACTTGTTCTGGTCTTTGTCTTTCTCGGAACAGAGGTCAAGGGGGAGAGGTTTGATCAGAGGGGATGGCTGGGCCCACTTATATGCAATATGATAACCAAATTCAGAAAGCAGAATTAACATTTTAATCTATCAGTGCCCTAATTTTCTCCTAAAAATATAATGCATTGTGTATGTATTGAAGTCTTACTCTGACTGTCTAAAAATATTACTGATAGCTATCTTCAAGTTATTTAGAAAGAGATAAAAACAGGTAAAATAAATTCCCAGAATCAGAAAATTTACTTTATCACATTTCTCAAATTGAAAGCCTTAAAATATGTACTTGAGTTTGAGGGCTTTGCATTGGCAATTAAGAACAATGATAAACCTTTAACCTTTTGACTTTGTAAGTTATTTAACAATTCAGGCAAAAGTTGTATTCTCAGTTATCTTCTGAAAAATCATTCCTGTAATCTTTGGTGGAAATAGCCTGTTAGAATACCATTAAACTAGGCAGAGTACCACTCAAGTATTATCACGTACGTGTTAAGTTCTGAACTTAATACTCACTCAAGGAGGAACCATGGAGAACTGCACAGTTGGGACAGTGGTACAGGTCAATGTCAACAGCATGATGTTCTTCTACTCCAACACAGCTAAGACAAAGAAAAGTCACTATGTAAATAATCTGAAAAAATTTAAATAATATAATAATTTATTTTTACATCATTTTGTGCCCTTTTCCACCTGAGTTGTAATCTTCGTGGGCTTCCCATCACCAAATCACCCAGGTGCCATCACTATAGTACACTGCACTCCCCCCACCCCATTTCTGATCCCATTCCCCACTCCACCCTGTAAAATGTCCCTGGTATATAGTTGTTCATTATTATTATTATTTTCTCCCCTAGTCCTTTATACTCCTGCTATGAGTGAAACCATCCGGTACTTTCTTCCCTTTTATTTCTGGCTTATTTCACTAAGCATGATCCCTTCCAGCTCCGTCCATGTTGCTGCAAAAGGCATGAGTTTATCTTCTTTGATTACTGAGTAATATTCCATTGTGTATATGTACCACATCTTTTTAATCCAGTCATCTACTTTTGGGCATTGGGTTGTTTCCATGTCTTTCCTATTGTAAATAAAGTAGCAATAAACATGGGGGTGTAGGTGTCTTTTTGAATCAATAAACTGAAGCTTTTAATTCCAACAGACCGGTTGGAATTTAGCTGAAAAACATACCACCATCTCATATTCATATTCTGTACTCAGAATCATATACAAAGATAAATTTTGTTTTCTTCCCAACGCACTTGCTAAATAATTGTGGGGGAGCATAGACCAAATATATGAGCAGTGGTTAACAATTAACAACAGCAGAGCCATCAGCAGTAATGCAACTGTAAACCCGAAGACCCTTAGCCCTTATGTACATGACTAGAGATCTGTCCTCCACCCCCAACCCTTGTCCAAATTCACATACTGAAACTGTAACCCCTGGTACGGTTCTGTTTGGAGAAAGAGCTCCTAAGGAAGTAATGATGGCTAGGTGAGGTCATAGGACATAATCCTACTGACCAGACAGGATAGTTTCCTCATAAGCAGCATCTAGGACAGATCCCAGGAGTACACAGCAAGGAGGTAGCAAGTTAGCTCGAGGCACTTTCTAGTGCTTCACCATGCCATGTGTGTACACACCATGGAGTGTGTAGCTGTGGCACTTAAATAAAATTTAAGAGAACGAACTAGAGACTGAAAAACTCACTAGTGACATCTGAAAATACAGATTTGTCGAACAGTCACAGCAGCTTTACTATCTCTCATAACCTATTAAGGCAAAGTTTTATAAGTTAAACAAAAACACAAAACTTGTACTTGAAAAAGAACAAAGGCAGGACTAATAGAATTGGGAGGGGTGGAGGGGAGTAGATTATAAGGAGTCACTTAACAGATAAAATATAGGAACTGGGTGATGGGCACATTACTTAGTATGTAGCAGAGAGAAATAAGATGGCAAACACAAGTAAGATGGTAAGAACCATAAAGGATAAAGTGAGAAGTATAACAAAGCTTTAATCAGAGCCATAGAAGGTGAAGTGCGAACAGAGGTGATGAAAACAATAGCTAAGAAATTCCAAAACAATAAAAGATACCAGTTCTGACTCAAGAAACCAAACAAATCCCAAGTAGGAAAAAATAGTAAGAAATCTACATCTAGCCACATCACAGTAAGACATTATGCTGGAGGGCCTAGCTGGGGCAGCACAGTAAGAAAAAGAATTAAAACTACAACGAATTAGAAAGAAAAATACAAAGCTGGCATTTGCAAATGCTATGGTTCCATTCCCACAAAATACAAAGGAAACTAGGAAAACAGTAAGAATCAATAAAAGCAACAGTTGCTGGAAATAACATCAATGCATTTAAAAAAGCACATGTATTTCTATATACCAACAATACAGAACTAAAAAGTGAAATTAAACACTACATACAACTGCATAAAGACTGTCAAGCATGTGGGCATTTAATAAAAACTATGCAAGACCTCTTTCAAGAAAACCGTACAACATCATATAGAGAATTTAGAGAACACCTAAATGAATGGGGATATACAGAATGGTCATGGATATGACTTTCAATAATATTAATCCTCCTCAAAGAGATTTATAGATTTAATTCCCATCAAAAAAAGTCCAATCTGTAACTTGGCAAACTGATTCTAAAATTGATGTGGAAATACAAATGGCTAAGGATATGCAAGGCATTCTTGGGGTGAGAGGGGACACTCTACTAGGTGTCAAGACTGGCATTAAGTTACAGGAATCAAGGCCAGTACAACAGGACAGGGCTCCAGATAGATGCGCACACGTTTGGGTGCTTCTGTGTGACAGGGGGCGCTGTAGAGCACACAGCTCATGGGCAGACCTCAATAAAAGGTTCTGAGATGCATTGTACCTCTCTGTATGGAAGGGGAAAAATGTGAAATCAAACACCTACCTCATAACATAAAAAGCTAATCCAAAAGTAGATTACACAGATGAAAGGTAAACAACAAAGGTTGTATAATATAAAAATATCTTCATGACTGTCTGGTAGAGAAGGTGATCTCTATCAAAACATAAAGTGCCCCAGAGCTGTTTGGGGGGGGGGGGTTGGGGGGGGGGGCGTGGTTTTGAACAGGACTGATAACTTCAATTATCCTAAAACTACTGCTGTTCATTCAGCTATAAGGAATTCTGAGTGGGAAACAAATAACCATCAAAAGAACCCTAGAGAAAAGTGGACAGAGATTTGACAGACTCATCACTAAAGGAAATCCAAGAGGCTGCTAAACACAGGAAAATGCGTGCACTCTCATTAGAATCTAAGGAAAATATTAGTGATAAAATGCCATAATAGATTGGTTAATACTAAAAAGTCTGAGGCTACCAAATGTTGATGATGATGTGAAAGGGGAAGCTGCCTAGAGTAAATCTGGTAGTCATTTTGGGAAACAATTTTGCAACAAATACTCTTAAAAGTATCTGTGCAACAAAACTCACCTTGTATCTATGATCAAGCAATTTCTCTTTTTACAGAAATTCATGTGCCCCAAATACCTACACAAGAATGGCTACAGAATCATTATTTGTAACAGTAAGATAAGTAAATCACAGTATATTCTCACAATGGAATTCTATATACAACAATAAAAATGATAGAACTATGGTCCCATGCGCTAAACAAATGAATTCTGTGTCAGTGTAGTGTTTAACAGAGTATAACATATGCAATATATTCCATTTATGTATAAAGACTAGGCCAGACAAAGCTGAAGCACAGTATTTAGGGATTAGACTATAAAGAAAAGCAAGGATGAAATGGATCACAACAGATAAAGGTTACCTCTAAGGAACTGTGGTCTGGAAAAAATGGGGAGGTGTGGCTGACCTGGATCCTGAGGGATTATAAAAGTGTGTGTTTTATACTTAATCATTAAACTGATGATGTTTCAGATACTTTTTTGTGTTATTTTACAACTGAAACACAGGGATAGAATTCTATCTACAATTATGTGAAAAAAATTAAGCTAACAAAAGCCCTAACTTGTATTAGTCAAAAAACAATAAAAGTATCAAAAAGATCTTGAAAGATCTGTGGACACCCCCAAATGAGCCTGTTCTCATCTGAGAACCCTGAGCATGAGTTACCATAAGGGCTTGGAGAGTCTGTGTAGCACTCCCTGTAATTAAGGCAAAAAAAAAAAATCCAAAAAAGTTGTCAAAAATAACATTACCATTCAAAATTCAATTCATGTAATTGAATTGAGTAACTGCAATTTACTTTGATACTTTGAGTGGAACTGAAATGTACTTAGTTTTATTTGTCCAATTTAGATTTATTTAATTTCTTTCCACAGAAAGCAAAAGGAGAATATACTGATTGCTTGAAGGCTTCTATTTAACCGGAAAAACTATCCATTGCAGAGCATCCCTGGTGGCACAGGGGGCTGAATTTCAGCACTATGAAGCAGTCCACAGCCACTCTGGCACCAGTTCTATCCCCGGCCAGGGAGTGACCCACACGGCACAGCAGACCTCTCCTGTCTCCCCACTGCTCCCCTCAGTGGATTTCAGTAAAATCTCCTGTTCTGCTCCCCACTCTGTCTCTGCTGAATAGTCTCATCCTCCCTTCCACAGCCCTACCCCTGTACCTCTGGCCATGTTACACCCAGATATTCTATGCATAAATAAATCTTTTTAAAAATAAAATACACAAATAAAGGTGACTTCTACACAGCTATGGGCAAAAAGAGAAGATAGGGTCATTCCAAATAATTGAGGACATTTGAGTAAACTAAATAATCCTCAAAGATCTATGGTTCCCACCTGTGACAAGGCATGAACCTATTCTCCTAAATCATATACAGTACTGTAAGTTAATGTTACCTTAGTGAAGAAAAAATAAACCTACAAGTGAATAAAAATTGACAGTTCCTCTCTCCAGCCTCTGTTCTTTACCCTCACCCATACACTCTTACAGCCTCAGGTTTGGGCCATTTCCAATCAACTGGCAAAACACGGATTGCTACATTTATTTTTAAATCTCAGACCTTGGTAAAAAATGGTAAAAATTAGTAAATCTGAAAAACAATCCCTCAACCTGATAAAATATTATTTTAAAAGTCAAATTTTAAAAAAAGTCAAATTATACACAGAAGTCAGAGGTCCCTAGCCCAGTGTAGAGCAGGCTTTCTCGCTGTGCCCAGAGTAGCCTCTTCAGTAAGCACCAGCTTGACACGGGAGCCAGTGTCCACTGAGGCCCCAGAGCTGGGCGGTTCCTTCAAAACCGCAGCTTCTTCTCAGCTGAGAGCAGCAAGGGACAGGGATGCGGAGAAGCAGCGTTCTCCTTGCAGAGTCCTCCCCTGATCCCTCCTAAAGAGGAGACTGGCACTCCCTCAGCTTTCACTTTTTCTTAAATGGAGAATCAATCATTGTTCCCCCTTTTGTGACCTAGGAGAATGTAGTTTGAGGGGCTCATAACAAGTCATCTCTACTTGAGAATCTCATCTTTGCTCTCAGAAAGAGGTACGGGTACCTCCTTTTTGGTCTGTCCTGTGAGGTTCCGACTCCATCACCCCAGTCCCCCCACAGACCTAGATTCCTAAACACAAAGTCAAGTTTACCCCAGTCCACTCCACTGCTCTCAGAGCCTATGGCCACGTAACTTCTCCATACGGCTGCCATTAAATTTTGGCCTGTTCTCCTACTAATCTGTCTGGTGTTAATCTGTTCATCCTCCCAGCCTTAAAAGAGCCCAGACAGGGTGAGGTGGGGGGTCTTTCAGATCTTTGAGGGCACTAAAAAGGACTACATTTCAGTTTCTCAGAGGGAAGGATAACTTCGAGCTCCTTTCCTTCCCCATTAAAAGAATTCCAGACTCACAATAGCTTTAAGATATGTTAACAACTAACACAGCAGGACACTCAGCAGGCAGAATTCCGAAAGCAAAATTAGTGGAGAATCGTGTTCAGTCCCTCTTTACTCTTCTATTTTTCTCACATATCTTTCCTTGACATACAAATCGCCCTACTTTCTAAAAAAGCAAAATGTTCAATGTTTATTAGACCACTGTGTGCAAGTGTCAGGGGTGTATCCCTGTAGGGGTGACCATCTGACCTTTGCTAAATAGCTTCCATCTATAGAAGACTGCTTGATTGCCATTTGGTGAGTGTGACAGTGACAATTTTAGCATTTTCTATTGTCTTAATCTGAAATTGTTGCTTAGTTGGCTTTTTTTTTGGGGGGGGGGGACTTGACAAGGACAGAATTGAATTAATGATTAACCAGAATTCTCTAAGATCTGCCAAAAGTCTTCCTTTTTCCTCTAGGATAATGCTCCCATTTATATTCTCTACTCTGGCTGCTGGAAGAGTGGGTGGCCAAATTCCTTAAAAATGGTACTGTCAGTGGACGTCATTAGATATTCATCTCACTTTAAATGCTCTCCCCCTTCTTCACCAAGCAATCTTGTATTACCTAGCCTTCAAAATCCAACTAAAGTTCCTCCTCTGTAGTAGAATCTCACTGGATCACCCTACAGACAGTCCTTCAATATTCTATTAATATACTTATGTCTAATCCTGAGCTATTTTCTATCTCCTGTTTCCTGAGCTGAGATCAAGATTTCTCACAGTACAAAGTACAGCACCTCTTAAACATGGTCCATTTCTGTTGATTATTAACTGTGCTGAACACTTACTTGAAAACCATTACGTTGTAGCCAGGTTACAAGGAACTCTCAAAATACCTGCTCAGCTTAATTTTTAAGGAATTTCATATAGGAATTAAAGGTAACAGTTGGCAAAAAGAAAAGATCTTTCAAAATACAGCTTTTCTCCTTTCCTTAGGTAGCAAAGTCAGCAGTAATGAAATTCATTTTTCATTTGGCTCCAGCACAAGTTTTTGCCTTGTGTATCAAAAGTTCACCTTCCCGCCCAAAGTACTGAACTACTTAATTTCTTCATAATCAGAGGACTGAGTCATGATGTAACCCCCACATCCTATATTAACATCAGCAAAGGGGGTACAAGTGATGTTTGAGGTGAATTAACCATCAATTCCGAGCACAGGACATCATGCGCTCCTTGTATTTTCTTTCAGAACCCAACTCTGGGGTCAGTTAGGCAGACAGCCATATGCAGGGTCAGGCCAACCCAGCCTAGCTAGTGGTACATAGACACGCAGTAAGCAGTAACTGGATTCACAGAGTTCCGTGGCACTGGAAAGGCTTGGCTTGATGCTAGCAATTGTCGGTGAATTGCACCACGAGTTCTCATCTCTAAGAGGAGGGATTCCCTGGGACGAAACAGGGTAATGTAGATAACCACGTGAAGCATACAGGCTGCCGGGTCGTGAGGATAGTGCAACCCTCATGAGGGTCATGAGCTGCCACAGTAAGTACTAACAGTAGCCGCTCGTATTACTGCTGTGTTTCTGTGAAGCGCCGCCTGGACCACACAGCTCTGGGCATGTCATTCGTGAGGTTTGAGCCAAAGAACAAAATGTGGCTTTATGAGCAGGGTGCATTTTTCTTCAATTAGCGTGTCTCTCCAGAGCACACACTAGATACCCCAACGGCCATTAAGAGAAGGACTGAACTTATTTTCAATTTCTAACTAACTTTTAATGGTTTCATTCGCTTTGCCCAGTCTACACCAGTCTGAATCCTGGCCACTCAACTCAGTACCTGTGTGACTTTGAGAACTACTATTGCCTGTATTTTGCCACATCTATAAAGACCCCACCTTGAACAAGATCTCCCTCTAAGGGTTATGAAGAATATTAAGTTAGTATGCATAAAATGCCTAGAATCCATAGACGACTACTTCTGCTGATCCAAAAACATTCCACGGAGCAGCACTGGTCTAACAGATTGACGCTGTTACGGGGACACTGGGGTCCCGATGGGCCTCTGCCTGGGAACACGGATGTCAGGTGTGAGCTTAAGTAAAGATTTAGGATTTCTTTCTTTTTTTTTTTAAGATGTATTTATTTATTCACACAGACCTGGGATACAAGCCAGAGGTGGTGAGAGGCTTCACCAGAGACAGAGTGGGGAGCAGAACAGCAGGTCGACGAAGTACACTGCTGAGGGGAGCAGCAGGCGGGTCAGGAGAGGTCTGCCGCGCCATGTGGTGACCTCCCGGGCAGGCGGGGATCGAAGTGGCTTTAGATTCTTAGTGCTGTGCTTTAATACGTTGCACCACCAGGGAGGGCCAGATTTAGGATTTCTACTTATGAAATGTTTTATAGGAAAGCTAGAAAGGTAATTTATGATTAAATCTACAGTTCAGAAAAAACCCAGCTCTGTTATTTTCTTACTGACACATAAAGCTTTTTATAAAAGTAAATACTTTTCCTTATAAGTTGAGTAAGGCATATTTCAACTGGATTGAAGATTTATTTTTGGCACATTAAAATTACGTATGGGCATGCAACATGTCTAACCATATTTAACAAGAGTTTGAATGGAGTGGGTGGGTACTCTGAACCAAATGCCTTTGGTTCATAATAAAAGTAGATACTGTTCTTACCTCCAACGGCTGACTAAGAACATATATGTTAAGAAGGAAGGATGAGTAAAGAATACATAAAAAAAAGAATTGAAAAAATGAGAGCAAAATAAGGTTGAAGGCTAAAGAATCAACAGATGCACTCAAAGGAACAAAACGCACCCTAACAAAAATAAACAAGTGGAACTACTAAGGAAAAGGCTTCTGCACAGCAAAGAAGCTATCCACAGGAGGAAAGTCAGCTTACTGAGTGGGAGCAAATGCATGCAAATCATCTATCTGGTAAAGAGTTAACATCTGAAATAAAGAATCCACATAGCTCAGTAGCAAAAAAAAAAAAAAAAAAAAGTGGTTTAACAAATAATCAAAGTAGTCATTTTTCTAAAGAAGACACACAAGATGATGGCAGGCACATGAAAAGAAGCTCATCACCGACAAGCATTAGGAAAATGCAAATCAAAATGATGAGATTCCACCTTACATCTGTTATTATCTGTAACTATTACAGAATAACTATTATCAAAAAGGTAAGACATAACAAGTGTTGGTGAGGAGGTGGAGAAAAGGGAGCCCTCGTGTTCTCTTGGTGAGAACACAAACTGGTACAGTCGCTATGGAAAACAGAAAGGAGGTTCCTCAAAAAAAAAGAAAAACAGAACTACCATACAATCCAGCAATTCCACTCTAGGTTTATATCTGAAGAAAACAAAAACATTAATTCAAGAAGATAGCTGCTCCCCCACCACATGTTCACAGCAGTATTATTTATAACAGCCAAGACCTGGAAACAGCCTAAGTGTTTTTCACTCCTGACTAAAGAAAAAGGGGGAGGAGAGGCTCGTGCTTGTACACAAACCCCGGCACACATTCACAACATACACACTGTACATGCAGAGCACATTCACACGGGACAAAAAAAAAGGAATGAAACTTGTCATTTGTGAAATGGACCCTGGGGATTTTATGCTAAGAAAGTAAGTCAGATAGAGAAAGACAAATATAGTATGATTTCGCTTCAAAACAAAAGCCAAGCTTATAGATACAGAGAATAGACAGTGATTGTCAGAAAAGTGTGTGTGTATGTGAGAGAGAGAGAGAGAGAGAGAGAGAGAGAGAGAGAGAG